TCTTGGCTAAAGCTAGATGAATTATGGAATTGTTTAGGTTGGAAAAGGTCTTGGATATCTTCAGTCCAGCCGTTAAGCCTGCACTGCCACTTCCACCACTAAACCATGTTCACATTTACGCATCTTTTAAATACCTCCAGGAAAGGTGATTCTGTTGCTTCCCTGGGCAGCCTGTTCTAATGCCTAACCACCCTCTTGGTGAAGAAATTTACCTAATACTCAATGTAAACATCCTCAGGTGCAGCTTGAGGCTGTTTTGTCTTGTCTCTTGCATCCCAGGAGAAGAGAACCATCACTGCATCCTCCTTTGAGGCTGTTGTAGAGAGCAGTAAGGTCTCCCTGAGCCGCCTTCCCTCCAGACTGACAAACACATCTCCCTCAGCTGCTCCTCACAGGACCTGTGCTCCAGACCCTTCCCCAGCTCCGCTGGCCTCCTCTGGAGCCATCCCAGCACCTCAGTGTCATTGCAGGGACAGCGGGGCCCAGAGCGGGACACAGGACTCGAGGTGTGGCCACACCAGTGTCCAGCGCAGGGCAGGCAGTGAGCACTGCCATACTGCTGCTGATGCCAAGGTGCCATCGGCCTTTTTGGCCACCTGGGGACCTCCTGGCTCACGCTCAGATGCTGTCAGCCAGCGCCTCCAGCACCTTTTCCACTAGGCGGCTTTCCAGCCACTCTTGCCCCAGCCTGTGGAGCTGCATGGGAGTTTCGTGACCCAAGTGCAGGACCTTTGCTTTCTGTAGCAAGTGGGGGAAAAAGCAGCTGATCCCAGGCTGAAAGGGTGTTCAGCAGACACCTGCACTACATGAACCACATGAGTTGGCTCTACAGCCTCTTGAAGAACATTCTTCTCTCAGGACACAGAGCAGAGACACAGGAACAGCTTAGTGCTAGGCTGGTTTGTCCTGCTATTCTTAAACTAAGCAGCCACTCATGCTGTTCTTGGGGCAGTTCACCAGTTTCCTAACACCAGCTAGCCCCATCCCTCTTGAACACACAGGCTGTCATTTGACAACACATTAAAATATCAGTCTGGTTTTGAAGGGCTTTTCAGCCCAGGAATCATTCCAGCAGAATGTGACCAAACCTCCTATTTTGTGAAATCATGGGCTGTACTGTAGCTGCACAACTACCTGTGTTGTGGGCTGCTGAGTTCCGGGGCACAGTGGGCAGCAAATCCGTAAATTAGCTTAGCACACAAGCAAATAAATAAAGTAACAGGGAGCAGCTTTGGCAAGCACATTGCAAAGACATGCAAGCAATACTCATGCAGCCACCACAGGTCTGACAGAATGAGATGGAGCTAATAAAACCTGGTGAACCCAAGCTGTGCCTGCATCTGTGGTGCAATTAATCTGTGACACGAACAATCTGCCTGCAGATAACTGTAAGCTGACTTTATGTACAAATTAAACAACTCACAATAATTCATACTTACAGATAGACTGAAAAAAATATCATTACTACTTGGCAGCACATAACAAATACCATTTCAACTCACAAGTGTGAACATCATACATTAATAATTATGAGACAGCAAAGTTATGATACTGTACATATGCATTTTAATTTTATAATTTTGTTTTGATGTCCCTATTATTATCATCTCTTATGATAGACAATGAACATAAATTATGTTACCATAGCACACAGAAGTCCCACTCACAGGCTCTATTAGCCTGAGTGATACACAAATAGATGACAAAAGGTAATCCACCTTTTGTCATCCAAAAGTGTTAATGCAGACCCATGAAACAAAAGAGGATAGAGAATGACGAGATCATAAGAACAGCCAACATGCCAAGAAGAGATCTTTGCATACTAATAAGTCAACTGTTTTCAACTTTATAGACATCACAGTAAAATATTTCATTAGGGAAGGAAGGCTTTGCATGATCAAACAGTGCTTTTTATTAATAAATTATTAAGAAATTATGTTTTTTCTGTAATGTATTATCAGTATTTCTCCAACCCATGTCAGTTTAAACCGAGAACATCTGTGTCACAACAACTACAACAACAACAACAACAGCAACAACAATTTCTGCTTCTCCTGCTGCTCTGAAGTCTGCAATCCACATGGCGTAGTTCGAGCAGTCTTTCCTCCTATTTGCTAATGTTAGGGAATGTAAGAGACCTGAGAGGAGGGACACTTGCTATCTATGGTAAAGACAAAGCATTACAGGCCACAGCATCTATACAATTTCCAGTCTTCCCTCTTCTGAGGCAAGTGCCATTTCTGGCAAAAAAGGCAGAAAGTTGAAACAATCTGTAGTTGTTCTACATGGCTGCTCAAACCCGGGTGTTAGGCAAATGTGGTTTGTAAAGGTTTGTTCCTGTACCTGATATTCATAGCTGTGCCTTTTTAAGACCATCTCCAGCCCTAGCTGATATCATGCAAAAGCCCAAGGCCAGTGCTGGCCCTCGCCAGTGCTACATCGCAGCCAGGCAGCAGCTACATCCACACCTGGCCTTCTATCTCCTCAATCCTGGCTCAGATCCTGACTCAGACCTGCTGGCTGGGCTTCCTGGCTTGCTCTCAGACATGCCTCATCACTCCAGACTTGCTGTGCAAGCACTGGACCATCACTGTCTCTCACCTTCTCATGAACCCAGTGTGCTTCTCCACATCCTGCTGCTTCTTGGTCAGCCTCAGCTCCCACCTGCTGTGGCATTGTCCTCACCTTCCCTCACAGAGTGAGCAGCCCTCATTGTTCCCTGAGATTGCCACACTAAACCCACTGCCACACTGCCATGCTTGAAAATTTAGTCACATGAAGCTTTTAATGCACAGAACAACTTTGTTCTGTCCACAGAAAAAGAAGCGTAAGACGTGAAGTAAGAAACAGATTCTTCTCTCATAGCTCAGTTACCTGCCACAGCCATACAGCTGCTCCACACACCTTTGTTTCACATGAAATGAATTCCTACCCTTCAAGTTTTTGGGAAGATTTGTAAAGCTGGTGCACCAGCCATCAAGACAGCTCTGACTTGGGGGAGATCTTTCCAGAATGCAGAACCAAGATGAAATGTCCTTCTTTGCATAGGACTAATTAGAACTGCTGTGGCACTTCAGCTCTTCTTGGCTGCTAGACTGGCTCTGGAGGTTGGAGAGAGAGAGCCAAGCATACAGATGGTCAACATGCATGTATTATGATTGTTGCTAGTCTGCAAGGTCTATACATGAATTAGAATCCTGTTGAATTAAGCTCAGTGTACAAGCAGAATACAAATGCAGAAAAATTTAAATATAACATGGGAGATGATAGACACACACAGATGGAGGAGAACCATTCTGAGAAGTACGATAGGCAGAAGTCTCAGTATATCTGGAAACTTACCATTATCCAGTTTCATCACAAAAAGAGATCACCATTTAAGCAGGGTTTGAAGTAGAAACATGATACACTTCTGTGGGTGTTTAGGGGGCCTGGGGAAGAAAGTGAAGGAAACAGTAAAAGCAAATAAGAATCACAGAATTGTAGAATAATCAAGGTTGGAAGAGGCCTGTAAAATCAAGTCCAGAATGCAGAACTACCACTATAGCCCCTAAACCACTAAACCAGTGCCAGGTCCAGACACTTCTTAAACACCTCTAAGGCTGGACAAAGAGGACAACGTAAGAAAATTACATGCTTTTCTGAAAGTTCAACTAGTGGCTGTAAAAAATTCTATTCAGCTGGTGAGAGACAGGACACAACTTCTTGGTACAAAAGTCAGATGTGGGAAAGAGATAGTCTGTAAAAGCTCACAGTTAATAAAAGACACTTCCCAAGACCAAAGAAAACAATGTTCTGAGAGTTAGGATGAAAGATGAAGACACAGAGAAGTTGTGTGGATGGATAGGGAGGACCATACAATAGAGATCTGATGTAGAGAGAGTCTTAAAGACTTAGAAATGGACTTTAATAGGTGATTCATGTGATAATTTTAGCTGAACCTATGTCTGCTTTGAAAAAGAGATCATACCAGTTTTATACACACTGAAAGACCAGTATAAAAAATCTGTTAATAATTTAGCTTTCATTTCTGCCTTTAAAAACTGAAGACTATTTGACTATTTCAAAATTACACAGTTTAGTGAGACTAAATGTTGAGTAAGTGATTAGCATCACCTGATGTGATGGAATTACTAAAAACCCAGCAGGTATCTTTGAAAGAAATTTTGCCTAATGCAGCGTCACTGACTCAAGAAAAAGCAGTGAGGAATGTAGAAAGCAATGGATGTCAATGGCATGTACACATTAATAGAGTGATCCTGTTTTCATCTTTTGCTGCTTATGCAAGTATTATTTTAAATTGGTATTTGAAATGGATTGTTAAATTTGCATTTTTTACCAGAACCAGTCTTCTGGTTCTTCCTCTGCAGTTTACTTCTCTGTATCCTCAATCCTACCATTTACTCATCCTAAGTACCCAGACTGTACTTCAATGCTTAACCCCATCAGTCTTCTCTGTTCTAAGATCTCTCGATTGAGTTTTGTCCACAAACATCTTCTTGGCCTGCTTCATTTGCTCAAAGAATGCCCTCCATTGCCTCAGCACATCTAACACCTATTTCTTGCTGTCACCATGCCAGTGTGGCTCCTAACTCCCATGCACCCCCAGTGTTCCTGAAACCTTGGCATGCATTTTAAATACTGTAGGAAACAACACAGTGACTCACTGTCCTACTGCAAAACCTTAAATGTCTGTGTTTGAGAATATGTAGAGGGTTCCTAAGATACTCAAAATGTAAGAGCTGAGGTGGTTGACTGTCTTATGAAATAATAGTTAGATTGCATTTTGAAATGTCATAAAATGCCAGAGCACATTGTCCTAGGATGTACATTTGTGTGTTTTAGTTATGTTCACAATTGTACAAATAACAATCAAAATGTGAAAAGAGAACACAAATAATGTGATAAGTTGTTTCACAAGTGTTTTCATAGTAACTTATGAAAATGTGTGCTATTGAGCTACTTAAATTTTCTGATTTTTTTTGCTTTGATCTTTATAGCTATCTCCAAAAGGATGCTTCTGAGTACAGAAAGCGGTATGCAACAGTGCTAAGGTCCCGATGACAACACACCAAGGACAAGAATGGAAGTCAATTTATTCAGCAATTCTACTATTGTAAACAGTTCATCCATCAACCATAAGCAGTTAGAAGGGCATAGCCTCTGGGAAGTCATTACTATTGCCACTGTAACTGCAATTGTAAGCTTAATAACCATAGTGGGAAATATTCTTGTAATGATATCCTTTAAGGTCAACAGTCAGCTCAAAACTGTCAACAATTATTACTTGCTCAGCCTTGCCTGTGCAGATCTCATCATTGGGATATTTTCTATGAACCTTTATACATCCTATATACTCATAGGCCATTGGACTCTTGGAAGCCTCGCCTGTGACCTGTGGCTAGCACTGGACTATGTAGCTAGCAATGCCTCAGTAATGAACCTCCTAGTCATCAGTTTTGACAGATATTTTTCCATCACAAGGCCTTTAACTTACAGGGCCAAACGCACACCCAAAAGAGCTGGCATCATGATTGGTATGGCTTGGCTGATTTCCTTCATGTTGTGGGCACCTGTAATCTTGTGCTGGCAGTATTTTGTGGGTGAACGAACAGTACCACCTGAAGAGTGCCAGATACAGTTTCTGTATGAGCCCATTATTACCTTTGGTACTGCAATTGCTGCTTTTTACATTCCAGTGTCTGTGATGACCATTCTGTACTGCCGCATTTACAAAGAGACCGAGAAACGCACTAAGGACCTCGCTGAACTGCAGGGCTCAGAGTCTGTGGCAGAGTATGAGACAATAAAGCCTCAGAAAACTCTCCTGAAGTCTTGCTTCAGTTGCAAGCAACAAAACTTAGTCAAAAGAGAGGGGTGTCAGGCTTCCTGGTCCTCATCTAGCCGAAGTACGTCAGCTACGGCGAAGGCCTCCCAGGCAGCGAGTACGTGCATGGACTGGGCCAAGGCCGACCAGTTAACCACCTGCAGCAGCTACGCCTCCTCCGAAGACGAGGATAAACTTGCCACTGACCCAGTTTTCCAAGTAACTTACAAAAGTCCATCTAAAAGTAAGGCAGAAGAGTATAATGAGACTACAGATGTTGTTGTCAAAGACCAACCTGAAGAAAGTGATTTTGAGAACCAGAAATACTTTTTGTCGCCTACCAAAGAACACGTACAAAAAAGTAAAAAATGTGTGGCCTATAAATTCCGTTTGGTGGTTAAGGCTGATGGCACTCAGGAAGCCAACAATGGTTGCCGAAAAGTAAAAATAACTCCTTGTTCTGCTGCTCTGTCAAAGGACCCTTCCATCAAAAGCATGGATCCAAATATAAATAACCAAATCACCAAAAGGAAACGCATGGTTCTTATAAAGGAGCGCAAAGCGGCACAGACTTTAAGTGCCATTCTTTTGGCTTTTATCATCACTTGGACTCCCTATAATATCATGGTTTTGGTCTCCACATTTTGCTCTGACTGCATCCCCCTGACACTGTGGCATCTTGGATATTGGCTATGCTATGTGAACAGTACTGTTAACCCCATGTGTTATGCCCTATGTAATAAAACTTTCAGGAAGACTTTTAAGATGCTGCTTTTCTGCCAGTGGAAAAAGAAAAAAGTAGAAGAGAAACTATACTGGCAGGGCAATACCAGACTGCCATAGTTGTTCTTGTATAAAAAATAAGGAGATATATAGATATTGATGTAACCTAACAAATTCTGTATTTTCAAAGCTATTGCTGTTGTGTCTAGTGGTTAAAAAAATCTGCTGAAACGTTAAATTTTGCATGAAAGTAGTATGCTTGGGATAAAAATGTCAGTGGCTGCTATGAGCAACACAGGTTGTTTTTGACTATGCAGTAGAATTGCATTACAATTATTATGTTTGGTGTCTTATGTCCTTTCTTTCAGCCCGAGAATAGGTGGAGTAAACTATATAGTAGAAATTAGACTGGGATGATCATCCAGTCATCAGGTTAGGTCATTCAGTCTGTCTCCCTGTAGAACAGAACTGTTTCTTCCTATAGTTCTTTGCTAGTGTATTGTTTATTTAGTTTTCAGTGTTCCAAGCAATGCAGCCTGTGCTACCTCTATTTTGAGGCTTTACCATCAACTGTTGAGATGAAACAAGGACTATCTAAAGGGTAAATGCTGTCATCCCCAATACTAAGTGGTTAAGGAGATTCATAATACTCCAAGTGAACACACACATTACAGCAGGACATAATACTGAGAAAATTTCTACTTTAAGGGTGACTCTTGTGGAGACTTAAGAAGGGCTCATAGTGGAAGAGCTTATAGTGGAAGAAATAGATATTGTATTTTGTACATGAAGGAGCCAGTCCCAATATCAGTTCCATCCTGCAAGTCACCATCATTTTAAAAAGTGGTGACACCTCTGAAATTCTCCAGTTCCCAGTACCTCTGAAGGAAATTACGGAATTTTATTCAACAGTGGCAAGGGTACAAATCAGAACTGACTGTATGGCATAATGGACACAGTCTGTCTACAACACAAGGAAAGTCTTTTTTGCAATCTCCTTTGTTGCACTACAGCTTGCTCCAAAAGTTCCCATAACATTTACATATATATAGTGAGAGAACTGGCGTCCTTTAAAAGCACTTTGAATTCTTTGTCATTAAGTAGCTTTACAAGTACTAGTCAACATCAGGTGCTTGGAAATATGAGTTATCTTCAGGCACTCTCTTTTGGTCCAGTGAAACCACATCTGCTACAGATGTGGCTGAAGTCAACACCCCTGGTGGCTGTGGCTGCTGGGACTGGCTTGTACTGGCCTAGTTATGAGCTAAGACTGACCATTGGCTGAGATTAGAGAGGGCTTTTGGTGCCGAAGCTGAGCTGTCTGTGCCTTCCTGACGTCTGTGTTAGACTGGCAGGAGCCCTGCAGCACTGACCGAGTGAGTGGGTAAGCAAGGGGCTGCCTTCAGCAGAAGGCTTTTGGAATGGAGCTGGTGACCTCCCGGTGGTGGGAACAAACAAGCGGCTTCAGAGAAGGTCCTGAGAAAACAAAGTTAGCAGCAGCAGGAGTCATGAGGTGTGGAAGTACTAAAGAAAAATGTTTATGAAGGAATGAGAAAGATATGTACACAAAGTTCAAATTCAGTTCTAGCCTTTCTATCAAAATTCTGAGTGAGATACTCTGGAATATTAGTTTGAGACAATTTTCATGATAAATCTACTGTACACTTTAGCAGGACATTGCAGTGGTGACATTAGCCAGTTGCACATTTCAGGGATTGTATAAGTCATCGTGAATGTACCATTGCTCTCAGTGAAATTGTTTGCATAACGTATTAAGTTACCATACCATCAGGATGTTCTCCTACAGATAGATAAATCCTCCATGTCAACAATCACAGTACAAGTGATTAACATTTTTTTAGCCCTAGTGTCCACAGGGGAAAATTTTGTCAGTGAAAGATTAGCAGTGTACTAATGCAAAAATATGTTCTCTAACGCCACGTGATTGATTTTGTAACACACCATACTGGGCCTCTTATTTTGTATGTGCATCAGCATATGGTTACTTATGAAAGGAAAGCAGAGGTCTTTATAAAAACTCTTTCATCAGCTTTGTTCTGTCACTATCCAGAGCTTTTCCTGTGTACAGTAACTATGCACAAATTAGTTGTTAGAGTGGGTTTATTTTATATTACATCAGACCAGTCATTCAGTAAACTATGTTTGATTTTTAGCAAATGAATGTGTCTCTCTGGGGGCATAAGCTGCAGTTAAAGACAAAATTTATGAGGTAGTAACAGTTCATGCTAGCTGCACTGTTATTGCTGAAATGAAGCATTGGCTCTTACTGGAATTAAATGGACTATTTTTGTTGGTTTTGAAGTTTGTTAATCAAGAATGTTCTGTAAATGTTTATGGACTCTCTGCTCAGTAAATGTATTAGAATACCCAGTGATGGATGCAACAATGTTGGTTCAATGTTATTGTGAAATATGTGCACAAATTATGCTGCTAGCACCTAACCATGTGTGAGATTACATGGCCACACATGAGTACATTGTAAATATCAAGAATTATATGAAGAGGTGTGCGTTACTTTATTGTTATGTAGGATGCTTATTCTTAAAAAAAATCAAAACCTCAAAAGGACAAATGTGGTCCTCATCAGAGTATCTGTTAGTATTTGGTTGTACTTTGTACCTTTTTAAAAAGTGTTGTGAGACTTCTGCAATGTAGGACAATCTTGTTATCTTGTTATCTGTCCTTTTAATGACATTTTTACTGATCCTGTAATTGATTATTGTCATGGACTAATGAAATGCTTTTTGTAAAACTACATTTTGGTTTCACATAATTTCATATACATACATCTATATAGATATGTATGTATTGTCAATGTAAATGCATAAATACACATCCCTAACTAAGCTTTTCAGAGACCCAGTTCCTTTTATATTTTAAAGTATTGAATTTTCCCACAAAACAGGGATATGATTTTGATCTCTTCCTTTTCATATATGCCAGCACCCCTACATATTCCAGATCCCCATAATTTATCAACCAACATTAATTTTTTGCAAATATGATTTATGTGTGTAGATAAATGTAATGCTCCTGCAGCTGCTGGGTATTCAGTGACTTCTCTGTTTTGAAACACAGGCTAAACCTTAACTATAGAAAATGATACGGTGTCTACGGTGTCTTTTCACTTCACTACTTGACTTCACCCCCAGCAAGTCAATAAGAGGCCACTCTGTTTCTTATGTGGTCTCCCCCAAATCCCCATTACTGCCTTTTGAGCTCCCTAAGAAATATTCTTGAAATATTCTTACACAAACATTTGACAATTGATTGTCATAAAATTTTGAGCTTTAATAAGCTTCTTGTTTATGATTTTATTAATAGTTACCCCATAAGCAGTTAAAGCAGTTTAAAATTGATAACATCATGTTGTAAAACAGGAGATAATCTACGCTTACTAGGGGTTTCAGAAACGGATGGTGTTACAATTGTTTTTTCCATCTTGGTAAATGTATTTTTTTACAATTAAGGAATTCAATCTTTGTTACACTCTGTAAAAACACTGCCTTTTACTCAGTATTTTTGCCATTGGTCACTAAATGTCACAAGTTTCTTCATGTGTCTGCTGATACACTGAAGTAAGTCCTCCTCAAATGAACCAAACATTTCAAATCCTTCAGAAGTTTTCTTCTCAGCAGGTCCTCCTCCAGACCCTGGTTGCTGATGACTTCTGTTTCAGTGGACCTCTTAAGCTGGGGAGGCTTTTACTGAATTCCTGGTTAACATGCCGAGATAGAAGCTGAAATATCTTTTAATCCTTACATGCAGCAGAAGCCTAGACGAAGTGTCGGTCAGATAGTTGTTTTTAGTGTGTGCTGTCCATAAGGCCTCCTTCAGTGTGCAGTTCATCAGATAGCTAGCTATAGGAGGAAGAGTGGAGAGAGGGTACAGTGGAGGATTCCAGCTGTGGAACACAGCTGGATTCAGCTCTGTAGCCCCCCACTCTGACTGCGGCCTGTTGCCTTCTGAAACACAAAAGACATGAGAAAATCAGGCCATACAGCTAACATTGTCAATTTTTTGATACAGCTATTGCATCAATAAATAAACAACATTTGTCAGTTAGCCCCTAAAACCACTTTGTCATACTTTTAAATCTATGGTTATGCACAAAAAATAAGGTTACCTGGAAGTCTGTAAAGTCAGAAGCAAAAGCAAGCACTTTCTCATATGAAAACTGAATTATTTTAAAAGACAAATAGTGAACAAATTCTGAGTTGATTAATGTGGTATTGAATGTGAGAGTGTGCTTACATTTCCTGCAGTTGACAGTACAAATGCCGAGAAATGCAAAGTAGGAGAGGTTAAAAAAAACTGTTTCACTGCTATTGATAGGAGATTGCATGTTTAAAGTGGAACATGCCTCCCATTCACAGGTGCTTAGAGCTGGAACCTTTTGCTCTAGATCTTGTCATACTTACTCATTTTGGAAGGCTATTTATTTGACCAAATAAATTTGTTTCCACATCTACTTCTGGGAAGACCCTCCTTCTTTCCCATACTGCAGGAGGCAGTAAAAGCAGGAAAGGCTGAGAGAGAGTGTAGGAGAAATGAGATTGGCAGAAGAATTTAGGAGGGGTAGAATAGAAACCCCCATGTTTTAGTCTGTGATTTCACTGATGCAGTGATGAAAGCCAGATGCCTTCAGCATTGTTCTGGGTATCTGGTGATCAAGGTTCAGCAACGGAAGAAAAAAAAATCTGTTCAGTTAAGATAGTCTTTTGCTAAGGAATTATGAAGTAAAGTTTAGTCTACTTCTAAAGGTTCCACCCTGGTGGATGTTCTAGAATATTACTTATTTTCATCCAGTAGTTAGTCCCCAACCCAGCCACCGTGGTAATTTCCATCCATAGTTTTCTTAGAGGTGTGGAATGTAGCTCAGTGCCTGAGTTCAATTAAATGTTTCAGGTTTTTTGCTAGTAGATGCCTTGCTATGAGTTTTTATTACATTTTAAATCTAATTTTTTACTGGAATTCAATGCATAGGTTTGTAGGGCTAGTTAAAGTATTAACTAGAGTCCCTCCAGCCCTGGGCAGCTGGGTTTGGTCTGCTGGTGCCCAAGTTATTCATACAGCTTGTTTGCAGAGTCCTTACCCCCAAAATCCTCTTAGACAAGCTCAGGGTGTACTGCAGAGCAGGTTGCCTGCCTTTGATGATCAGATGCAGCTGTGGACTTTCCCTTCCACGCTTCCTGTCACGGTTGTTAAAACACATTTTTGGAAGGTGGGTGAACATCTGGCTATATGGCCAGGAATGCTAACAAAATATAATATGTGAGACTGGCAGCACTCAGGTGATTTTCTTGTATCCTCATCACAGCTTTGGATAGAATTATGATAGAATTATAGGGATGGAATTATGCAGAACCCACATTACATTGACTCAATGATATAAACTCAGTTCAGGTACTAACCATTTCTTCTCCTGTCACACTTCTGTCTTTGAGCACAGATTCAGGGGAAAAAAATTAGATGCTGCAAAATTGGCGTGTGTGCTATGCTGGCCTCACCCACATCACATAGCTGTATCTCTTTCTGAAAATGCTGCAGTGCATCAAGAAAACTAAAAATTGCTTTCTTGGCTTTTCTGCTTCCAAAATAGTTTCTCATCTTAAGCAATCATGACAGTTTTGGTCCTCTTAAAACACAGTCGAATTTATTTTTGGAAGCAATTTTCATGAAAATTATAAATAGTATTTTAAATTAAAAAGCAGGAATTCAACAGGATCTGTTGATGTAGTTTAACTGAAATACCAAAAAACCACACATGATAATCTAATTATTAGTCTGACATTTTGTAAATGCAACAATAAAAACTCTTCAGTGTCATTAAGTTATTCCGATGATATAGAACTGTGTGAAGAAACAGTGGTAAAAAAAACCAAGATCTTCAAGGTTATAAAAATTTAAATCTTTTTGTTTATTGTTTTAAAACAGAATAATTTATAATTAATCTTTGTTTTATTTTATAGTTAGAAAAAAAAGCATTGTTTAATTGATGTCAATGTTGAATACTAAAACAATTGAAACTCTTAAATGTGAAATAAA